CACCCCACCCCACCCCACCAGGAGCCCTGCTCTCCCAGAACCAACCCTGGAACTTACCATTTAATAAAGTCATGATCTTTTTACTTTTATCTTTGTTATTTTTTGCCATGGGTTATTTTGTTGCCCCCTTTTATAAAGTTAAATTATTAATTTATGCATTTTTATTATTTCTGCACTTACTATTGATAATGATGATATTTGTATCTTGTTTAGATTCAGCGTTGGTCACATTCCATGAAGCTTGACATGTTTTCACTGCCATTATTTTCTAAGTAATCTGCAACTATGGCTGTGAGTTAAATCTAACCAGCAAAGCAAATGAATAGAAGATAGAGTTGTTGATTTCCTCTTCTGGGACTCTTGAGTTTTTCATAATTTGTATTAGTGTGATTTATTTAATACATTATTCTTATCATGTTACTATAATTTTTCAGATCCTTATTTGACTAACAAATTAGTCAAATCCAGAGGATGTCAAAATCTCCCACTATAATTGAAATAATTGTATTGTCTTATCGTATTGCTTTTGTATATCCGAGAGTTTTAGCTTCAAATATTTTGAGGCACTGTTATTTGGCACATAACTTTTTTTGAGGGGAGAGGGGTAATTATAATTTTTATTAGTATCAAATGATTCAATTTGTCATTTAATTTTTTGCATTAAAAGACATTTATCAGATTGAAAGATTCATATTGCCAAGTTATACAAGGCATATGAATTTATATTTAATCTTCTAGGTCATGTATTTTAGAACTATGTCTTTTAAAAATAGCATGTAACCGGATTTTAATATTTGATTCAACCTCAGCATTTATCTTTTAATAATAATTTGTTTAATTTACTTTTTTCTTCAGAAAGTATTCAACTAGTATTTTATTAGCAATTACCTTTACATTTTAAAAAATAATTTGAGCTCCTTTTTCTTCACTTAGATCATAAACTGAGGCAACGTTCACTGGTCCCTTCCTAAGGAAAATAAGGAAAATAACATGATAACTCTCTCTACTCCTTTAAAATAACTTCCAGTGCGAGATTATATCATTCAGAATTCTTGACCAACATTATATTTGTAGTTTTATCATCTCTTTTGCGAATTATTTTTACATTTCATTGCCTTTGCATAAACAGATTTACATTAATCATTTAGACCAGTGATTTCCAATCGTTTTCAACTCATGGCACACATAAACTAATTACTAAAATTTGTAGCGCACCAAAAAATATATGTTTTGCCTATCTGACAAAAAAAATAGGTATAATTTTGATTCGTTCACCCTGGATGGCTGTTGTTGTGTTGGCTGTTGTCAGTTTTTAATTTGACAATCTAAGGGAAGAGGTCAGAGCCTCTGACTACACATCAGGTAGTGCAGGCTGTAAAATGCCTGAGGCCAGCGGGTTGAAATTCACTCTCTTAGACCAGAGACCAGCCGTGCTCGCTGCCAGGCCTTGGATACCACCACTGCCCAGGACTCGGCTCCCTGGGTTTGTTGTTTCGGTGCCTCTCCTGAGGAGCTCAGGTACCTCCAAGCTGGAAAACGGGATGTGTGTGGAATTTTCTTCATCCTTGAAATTCAAGAAATTCACTAGGCTGTTGATTTCTACCCTTAATGATTTCAATGGCTTTCATAACTTTACTCACCAAGTTGTGCTTCAATTGTATTGTTTGTTGGATACGTTATGTTAGGGATTCTTCCTTCATGTCCAACATTTTCTGCTAAGAAATCACACATGAAATTGCATTAGAATCACATACAATACATTCCCAATTACTTTAATGTGATAATAGCATTAAAAAACTTGCAGACCCTCAAAAAACATTTGTCAAAAAAAATCAGAACTCATGTCGTGACAGTGTCACTCTATAAATGCATATTTTTAAACCAAAAATAATTGAATTGTTAAGGAAAAAACCTAAAAGCTGGCCTACCAAGAGAATTTGCTTTGCCATTATATCCTATATCATAAGAGGCTAATATGCAAATTGTCTCCTCTACCGGGAGTTCGACCAGGGGGCGGGGCCAGCTGGCCAACCTCCCATGTCCCCTCCCCCAAGCTGGCCCAGCCTGATTGGCCCTGATCAGGGTGGGCTGGCCAGACCCCACACGTGCACAAATTCGTGCACCGGGCCTCTAGTATTTACATATTTGGTATAAATATAAACTGATGAGATCTATATATATAAAACCCTAATATGAAAATAGACTGAACAGCAAAACAACCAAACAACCAAACAACTGGTCACTATGACATGCACTAACCACCAGAGGGCATGCACAGAACATGGCGGGTGTCAGCCTTGGCAGGATGGTGGAGCAGGTGAGCAGGAGCACCAGCCCAAGGCAGGGCACCCGTCGCTGTCATCTGGGCGAGCCTCTGGTGGTTACTGACAATTCTTTACTCCCGCATGCCCTGGTCCTGCCTGGCGCTTGCACCTGCTGCCAGCACTGGTCCCAGTCACACCCGCTGGTCCCGGTTGCTTGGCACCGTCAGCAGGTGCGAGCGGCAGCTGCTGGCCTCAGTTGTCCCTGAGAGCTTCTCCACCTCCCCCTGCTCCTGAGGGGTGATCTGAGCAGCAACCGCCGCTCACACCCACTGACGGTGCCGGCCCCGCTCGCACCCGCTGCTGGGCGGGGCCCATGCCATCAGCGCATGGGAGTGGTAGCAGCACTGGGAGCAGGGCTGCCAGCAGACGGGACCAGAGGCCACGGTGGGAGGGGCCAGGTGGGGGCACAGAGGATGGGCTGAGACCACCCCTGTGCCCACCGCAGCCTCACAGCCCACAGTTCCTTTCAAGGTGCACAAATTCGTGCACTGGGCCCCTAGTTATGTAATAAAAATCTCTGATAATCTAAATATACTTCTAAAGCATTGGCTATTATTAAAGCTCTGGCCTAGGTCCTAGATAGAAACAATGACCCTAATGTCTTGTCTTTAGTCCCATTCCTCCGTCCCCCAACCCTGCTTTTTCATGTCTTTCCTGTCCTTTCCCTCCTGTTTTTTTTTAGCTCTATCATCCCTACACACCACTTTATAATTGCCTACCTTATATGACATGGACCCCCTCACCCTTTCATCTTTCTGTACTTCTTCTCTTCCTCATTTGTCCACCAAAATTTAACAGTCACTCTCTTAGTCCCATATTCTTCCTATCCATTTGGTGGGATGTGGAAGTTATAAAAAAGGAAACTAGGAAAATGCAAAAACATACATCCTTTATGATGGCAATAATATTTGCACCTTCTACAAACTATTCAGATTCAGTACATCCCAAACAGAAATCATCACCAGCTAGATAATTGCTGCCTTCCACATGACCACACACATCTAAAATCTAAAAGTCATTCTAGGCAACAGCTTTTCCTTCATCTTCTTCAAATGACCAATCACCAAGTCAAACTAATTTTACCTCTTAACATTTCTCAGTCTGTGACTACTTACTCCTAAACCCTCTATTTTCTACTCTCTACTCTTTCCCTAGTCACTCTCGTTTACATATAGCTCTTCAATTACCACCTCAAGGCCAGTGACCTTGTAAGCTGTACTATCTCTAGTTCTTTCTCTAAGATCCAGACCCACATAGGCTACAGCCTCCTCAGTGTCTCCACTTGAGCAACTCAAAACCACCATGTACTCACATTCTCCGTGTACTCACTTTATCCATGTACTCACGTTATTCATGTACTCACTTTATCCATGTACTCACTTTATCCATGACCAAACTCATGATCACATTCCTAACCCCAGTTTTCCTCTAACGTTACCTTATTTTACTGAATAATATCATCATCCAATCACTTGTGTAGGCCCAAAAGCCTGGCGACCTTGATCTTGCCACATCCCTCACTTCACATTCAATCCTACACGAAGACCTGTGGATTTACCTCCTAAAATGCCTCTAATCCATCACATCACACCCCTCCATCTTCAGGGCCATCATGTTGCCTGTACCTACTTGACATCTCACTTGCATTTCTTCACCTGCCTACTAACCGCCACTCCTGTTTCTGTAGGGATCATCCTGTGCACAGCAGCCACAGTGAGCTTTCCGCAATGTAAGTCACATCAGCTAGCCTGCTCTCAACCTCTCTGCCATTTTTCGTAAGATAGATCCATACTTCCCACTTTAGATTGCATATTCCCACCGAATCTTGGCTCCTGACTATTTCTCCAACTTTATAACCCACCATGATTTCCATCACTCACCATAGCTCCAGCCAACCTGTCTGCTTTCCACCCTTCAGAAACGCCATTGTCTGTCTTGTTATAGGGCCCTCACTTGGGCTGCGCCCTCAGTCTCAAAAGAGCTCACCCCTTCCACCCCTCAGTGAATACTCCTGCCCATCGCATCACCAGTATCAGGAAGCTTTCCCTGACTTTTCAATGGGTCCTTGTCTGTTTGCTCTATCTCCCTTTCCTTCATTGCATTAATGTCCTTAGTTGTTATCATTAGTACACTCTCTGATAAATTTCTCCCTCCCTCCCTGCTCAGGCTTCAAAGCCCTGGCAGAGCAGGGGACCTGGCTGCTTTCCTCACCATCATGTTCTCTCTGCTTAGCACAGGACCTGGCCTTGTTAAGCACTGAGTGAAGAGTCGCTGAATGACTGCCTGAGAAGAAGCCCTACCGCTTCCATCCAAGTTTAGATGATCAACACTCTTCTGGACATTGAAGAAGCATTCTAAATTGTCCAGGCCTCAGACCCTCTTCAACTCCTGCCCAAACCATCTCAAAACTTTCACAAACACAGCCTTGTCGCTCTGTACTTGCACCCGACCCAGGGCTCTTCAGAAGCAACATGATACGCCTGCATGTGACCGGTCCCCTTGGCCTTGCCCATGTGACTCTGTGGCCTCCTCACCTTGTACTTACATATGCTCTGTCTAGATTAGTTTTACATCCAACATAATCTACAATGGCAGACACTTCTATGCTTTGCCTTCTTTCTCTCTGCCCCTCCTCGCTCTTCTTTATGTCTATAAACCCTACTCATCCTTCACAATTCAGCTCAGATGACATTTCCTTTCTGAAGCCTTCAGGCCATTTACTTGCCACCATGGGGCAACTTCTGAATCTTTTCCTGCTCCCTCAGACACTGTCTATAACTGTCCTCACCACATAATGTGAAATGCTCTCTAGCTCCACTACCACTAGGCTGAGAGCTTCTCAACAGAAAAAAACAAAGTGTAGTTTTTAAAATTTTTTGTTTATCAAATTTTAACAATTTGGGGTATACAATAGATCAAAATAAATGTTTACTTCAAATACATAAAATCAGACTCTTGGACTCAGTGACCTCTGACTTATTCTTCAGATGCCTTTGAAACTTTGCCTTTCAAAGAGTTCCCTCTGCTACAGATAAAACTAAAGTATAGGAGTAGTCAATCATTCAGTTCACACATAGATCTGTGCCTAACGTGGGCCCGGCACTGGGTTCAGTGTTAGGGATTCAACTGTGACCAACACAAAGTGCCTACTTTCAGAGTTGTATCACAGCATAAAACCCAAAGCATAAAAATCGTAACAACTAATGCAATTAATTTCACAGTTCAGGGGCTCCAGGTGGGAAGCAGGAAGCCACTCAAGCTGGACACACCTCCTCAGACAGCCACACCATCAAGAAATCTCTAAGCATTCCCAGGACATGAAGGCTGACAGAAATCAGTGACAGACATGAAAGGGCAAGGCAAAGACATGCATACAGACATGTGCTATATGGAATTGTTCGCCTACAGTTTACATAATGTTATTAATCAATGTTACCCAATAAATTTAATGTTAAAATAAACATGTATTTAGCCTTCAGTTCTTCCCATTTAGAGGAGTAAATATAGAAAACAACTCTCTACTGGGAAAAAAGCCAAGGCAGCGAGCAGAAGCACCTGCTGAGTGTGTTAGAGAGAACCCGCTGCCCGGCCCTGCGGCCTGGGTTCGGCCTGTGGCCTCCACTAACCACTTTGTAAGGACAGGAGGCCTTCTCCTCCCGAACCTCTGCAAACTTAATGGCTCAAGCGACATTGCTAGTTCGGGTTTCTTCTACCCCTAAGATTCGGCTTTAAAATTTTCAGGGCATAAGCTTAAGAAATCCAGCTCTCTGGGCTGAGAACTAAGACCCCATGGGCATGAGGCATCCTGGAACCAATTTCAGAGACCAAAGCTGGCATGGCCACTGAAAGAGTCACACCAGTGAGGGCTCAGGGAAACAGAGTAATTTTCACAATATCCACCACTTACTAAATCTCTATTCTTGGCCAGGCATCCCAATAGCTACTCTACATACAGGATGTGTGTGTGTTTCAATTACAGTGGACCAAGGGTTTTGCGTATTCTGTTTTCTCAGATGAGGAAATTAAACTGCTCATGTCTCATTCTTTCTACCCTCTGATTCTAATAGTGACATGTGAGAACCTGCTAACCTTTGAGGCATAATAATCCCTCGTTTGGAAAAACTGCTGTTTGAAACTGCTGTTTGAAATTCTCTGCTATTTTTAGATAGTCCCTTACTCTGTAAGTCAGCTATGTTATTTTTAGACAGTCTCTTATTCTATAAAATATAACTTTGTTTTTTAGCTTGAATAATAGAAAAGATAAACTTAACTGTCTGACCTTGCAAGCTAGCCATCTAACGTAAGGGGCTGATATGCTGATACTGATAATATTCTCATGCCAGGTATTTGTTAGATATGATATGTACTCAAGGTTACAAGTTGTCTGTATAGGTATGACAGGTGTTTGTTAGATATGATATATATTCAAGGTTACAGGCTGTTGGCAATAATAACTTACACAAAAACCTAGAAGGATATAAAAAGGGAATACTCCTTCGTTTGTTCAGAATTTGACAGAGATATTTTGCTCTGAACCCGCATGCAATAAAAAACTCCTAATTAATTGACTTGTTAAGGCATCTTGTATCTAGTTCGCTGATTTACAATACAACACCTTCAGGAGAATCAATCACTCGTCTCAAAGTCAGAGCGCCATCTCCCACAGAGCCGCAGGCTCAGGCAGTGACCATGAGCATACTTACTGACATTCACGGCAATTCTCCGGGACACAGTGAACTGCCTCCCTGCATGTGTCAGGCTGGCTTTGCAGGCATAGCTCCCTCTGTCTTCCTCCGAAACATTGTTCACTAACAGCTTTTTTTCCCAATAAATGAACCGCTCTCCTTTAATCTCTTTACAGTCCTAAAGATAAAAAAAAAAAAAGAAAATTCAACTCAAAGAGCATTTTGGGATCAGTCACATTCCCAGTTGGCAGCATTCCATAAACCGTGAGGAGATACAAGAAACTGTGTGGCCCCTAGACGTTAGGTAGTGTATAACCTAACTGAAGTCTGTATAATGCTCTCCAGGAAGAGTTGACAGAGAACGTTTAACAGGCTGAAATGAGTGTTACAAACATTCAGACTAATGGGAGTCGATGGATAGAGACCTATGCAGGCTGGAGGAAGACTCCATGGAGGAAGACAGGCTGGGCCATAAATGCGTCCAGTGGGAGGATGTGAACAGGCAGAGTCCTCCACCCGCAGGGCCTTCTCTCCCCATGGGCCACCATCTGATGGCACCACGCCCCTTGGCCAAGGCCTGCTTCACTGTGTCACAGGCCCTGTTGTACCTGCACTTCTCAAGGGTTGGCCTTTTCAGAGGTCAAAAATAACTCATTCCCAGCATTCTATTTGGACCATAGTCAACGTGTGCTGACGAGGTTTATGAACAGCAGACGCCATGCCACTTCTCACACCCCCCACCCCCTGCTTCCACTGCATCCACAAAACAGCCTCAGCCCAAACCCACTGAAGGCTGGTTAGTCTCAGGACGCCTTTCTCACCTGTCATCCTCAGCAGCCACCCAGAGGCCAGGTCTCACACCCATCTGTCCTCCCAGAAGCTCACATTCTATGCTAATGGCTACTTCTCCCATCTCTCAGACCCACTTCTGAACGCTCATATCTTTCCCCTTTCTTCAGGAAGCTCCACTTTACAAAGTGACATCTTGGACAATGGAGCCCATTTTAGTCATTCAGCATTTAAATTCCTGCTCCTTGCTCGCACTGAGAGGCCACAGCAGGAGGAAGATGCAGTCCCTGCCTCAGAGAGCGCACACTCGTGATAACAGAGAAGACCGACATTCAAACCCTCAACTTATAGATAAAGATCTCATTGCGCACGTTTTAGACCTCATTCTCTGCCTTCGGAGCAGTGTTAACAAATCTGTCTCAGAAGGTGAAATGCAATAATGCCAGGACAAGCATTCGTTTACTTACCATGTAAACTACAACTTCCTAGAAGTCTTCCATTATTGCTCTATAAACATCTTCATGGGGAACTAAGCTGTAACTGGACAATGGCTTAACCATGGGATGGGAGTGAGTAAGAGTCAGATAGGGGAAAGCATCAGACTCTGATAGTGTGATGTCACCTTCTTCGGAGGAGAAGCCAAAAAAAGCTTGAATCTCTGGACTGTGGAAACCTCTTCCCTACATGGGCTTAGGTAGGCACAGTCTCTGGGCCTCACTTTCCATGTTTCCATTGCTGAGCAACCCCCTTGGCAATGGACTCATTCTTTCTTTCAGGTACAAATATTTAACCATATGAAAGTTCAGCCTTGCTAGCTTAAGAGCCATTCTATCCTTTTATGGTAACTAGGATGGCCTCTAATATAATCCACTGAAGCATTATTTTAGAGTCTAAATTCTCATAAGGCTTTGATTTTTATTTAACAACTAGAGGCCCGGTGCACAAATTTGTGCACGGGTGGGGTCCCTCCGCATGGCCTGAGGGAATTGGGCAGAAACCGGCAGTCTAACGCCGCCTGCCACTCCTGCTCATCCTGGCCTTGCTGCGCCTGCCGTGGGCTCGCGCCCAGTCAGTCCTGATCGGGAGAGGCTCACGTCACCATAGCTGCACTTGCCAGCAGTAAGCCCTGCATCTGGCACTTGTCCCAAGGCTGGTGGGAGGGGGCGGGACGCCATCAGCCTTCCAGGTGGGCGGTGGGCCTCCCTTGCCGGCCCAGGATCTGGATCCATCCTGCTGACATTCGCACTAGTTATCGGAAGCCACCTGGCGGCCACTTTTATATTGTTTCTTCCTTGCAGAGTGTCTAGGGAGGGGAAGTGACCGCAGTGCCTGAGGCCAACTTCCAGGAGGCTGGTGGTGCTGATGGGATTGTGCCGGCAACACTGGTCTGTTGGTGCCTGGCCCATTCTCTGGAGATTAGACCTGCACTACTACTGAGGGAGTGAGTGGCTGCTGCTGGGCTGGTGGGTGGCCAGGACAGGTCAGTTAGCTGAGTGGCGCTCCCGCTGTGGGAGTGCACTGACCACCAGGAGGCAGCTCCTGTGTTTAGCATCTGCCCCCTGGTGGTCAGTGCATGTCACAGCAACTGGTCGTTGGTTTGTTCGGTTGGTTAGGCTTTTATACATAGAGATTCTTGGGTGATAGCTCACTAATAAGATTTAAAATTTAAAAATTCATAATGGCCAATATTTGAATGTGTTTCATGTTTCAAGCACCAAAAAGAACACTCCTGGCCCAGCGTGTACAATGGTTCTGAGGCATAAAATAGCCCAGAGCTCTGACTGAGAGGTTGTGGCTGTGGGAGAATGTGAAGATGAAACCAGAGGGACAGGCAAGGGATGTCATCAGAAACCATGGAAAGGGATGTGCATTGGAAGCCTTCTAAGCAAGGGAATAAGGTTATTACATTTGTGTTTGAGAGTAATCTATCTCGTTGTGTGGGAAAGGATTAAAGATGAATGATCAAGAAACTAGAAAAATTTTAGAAAGTTATTTCCATAAACTAAGGCTAAACAGAGCATGAACTAAGGCAGTACAGCAGGGGTCCTCAAACTTTTTAAACAGGGGGCCAGTTCACTGTCCCTCAGACTGTTGGAGGGCTGGACTATAGTTTTAAAAAAAAAACTATGAACAAATTCCTATGCACACTGCACATATCTTATTTTGAAGTTAAAAAACAAAACGGGAACAAATACAATATTTGTATTTGCATGTGGCCCGCGGGCCGTAGTTTGAGGACCCCTGCAGTACAGTAACAACAGCAAGAAGAGAACACAAAAACAATGATGATAAGCAATTCCAATCCACAGAATTCAGTGACAAATTTGGAATATGGAGAGAGAACAGGATTTTCATGACCCCATTTTGGTTATGCAAAGGTGTTGTTAGATAGGAGAGAGAATGTAATGAAAATACAAAAGAATGATCAGATTTGGGGGTGAGACCAAAGTGGCTCTAAATATGGTGGCAATGGTTGAGTTACGGATGGAAATGTCTAAGAGGAATACATGTTAGGCCATTGGACAAAGTATCTGGAGGTTGAGAGAAAGATCAAAGTGGGAGAGAGAGTTGGGAGCCCTCTGTGCATGAATGGTTCCGTGAGCCATCCCCATTTGAATGTAATCAAGGCAAGAATAGAAGATGACCGTGGCTGAAATTGAAACCCCAAAATCTAAGGCCCCAATATAGAGGATGAGAATCCAGTGATGGTTGCTAAGGAAAGAATGGGGGTGTGGGGGAGCAGAGATAAAAGAAATGAGTCTCAGGTAGAATAGAAGAGAGAGTTCTTAGCTGGAAAGAATGTCCAGTAGTTATGAACGCTACTAGGAAATCAAGCTTAGGACTGAAAATAAATGTTAGATTTGTCAGCGGGAAAGCCAGGAGTAACCTCATAGTACAGATTCCGCAGGATGGTGAGGAGGACCTTGTAGTATTGAGGAGTAATTTGGAACTGAAAAAAATAGAGACATACAGTATTGGACACGTATAGGCACTTCTCTATCTATCTATTGTTAGGTTGGAGGGAGCCCAGGATCGGATACATGCAGACGTGTGACGAGATAATGGACTCCCCCTGGCATTTCTAACAGATCAGCCTGCCAGACACAGATACTGGCTTCTCCAAGACCCCCACACAGATACTGACTCATTCCTGAATACCTTGCTGACCCCCTGCAGCTGAAACTTCCTCAACTGAATACCTCAGCTCATGTCCCCGCCCCTCACCCAACCGCAGTATAAAAAAAGCGCCCCCCTCCCTGTTGGCGTGAATTCATGTGCCCTGTCCTTGGGGGTACGTGGGTCTCCCAGGGACGCAGAATAAACTTTCCTTCCTTCCTTCCTTTTCTGATCAACTCTCTTTATTTCCTTCGCCGCCTCCTGAGCCACCTAATCTAACATCTATAAGAATGGGCGTTTAATGTCCAAACTTTCTCCCCTCAACCCCTTCGATTTCAAGGACAACCTTTATCCCTCCCAGTCCTCAATTCTCCCAGCCACAACCTAAACTTTGTCCATAACTACTATGTCTCTAAACTCTTAAAAACATATATACCATTCTGATTATAATTTTTTACTATGCCACCTCTTCATCCCTTTATTTTCACTAAGTAATAATATCTAATAATGTTTGTTACAGTAATTGCTATGTGCCCACAGTGAACGAAATGCTTAGTGGAGAGATTATTTCATTTAACTTTTAAAACTCTATGAGGTCCTAGCTCTCAGACTGGATTTAGTTGCAAGAAACAAAAAGCATTCTGGCTATTTTAGGCAGAAAAGGATTCAACACAGGGTATTAGGTGCTTACAAAATGTTGAGAAGTGCTCAGGGAGTGAGGTCTGCTCCAGCGCAGCACTGTGGGACCAGCTCATACAACAGCTGCTCCCTCCACCACAATCATGACGGTGGGACCCAGATTTGGAACTACACCACCTGCCAGTAAGAGGCAGGAGCGGCCACTCCGCCGTTGTCCTGTGTGAAATCCTGTCACAGCTGGTAGAGCCAGCCCAACAAGTAACTCCAGAGACACAGGCACAAGGCTCCCGCCCCTGCTGTGCTGCCCTCACACCAGCCTCCCGGGAAGCCAGGGGACAAGCTGAGTCCGTCCAGGACCAGAGCTGCAGGCACCCTGGCAGCGCAGGTGTGCTGGTTGCCCTGTCTTCCTTCCAGCTTCCTGGTCTCTGTGGCAGGAGGAGGCTCACCGTGGACGGTGAGTGTTTGCCACCAAGTCTGCCATATTTCCTGCCTGAACTTTCTATGCACCTAATCCAATTTCTTATCTTAATTTGAATCAGTCCCCTTAACCTTTTATTTACTCCTAATTTCTAGTTTCCTTCGAGCATTGTTTTCTTTCTAAACCAACCTGGACTGCTGTGGCTACGACTTTAATCACCCCTTTCAGCCACTGAACTCTGTAGCCCTTTGCCTGCCAGCGTATCCACCCTGCAAACCCGCACCAGGTGAGTCCTGTGGTCCCCGCCCGCGCCAGCTGAGCACTGTGGGAGGTAAGCATGGGTCTGGGCACCACTCCAGATGCATGGTCTTCACTACCACACTCACCTACTCACCATGCTGCCTTTTCAAATCTCCCACATGGCACCTCCCAGGTAACAGAGAGAACAGAGGCCTTCACAGATGAGTGACCTCTGCTTACCCCTCCTTTCCTTCATTCCAGTTCCACTTCATGCACTTTTTAAAATGATCCCCATTTTTTATTAAATTCTAAAATAGCCTAAATAATCAACACACCACCATCATCAAGTCCTTCCAATTTATTCACTATAGTGCCCACACGAAGACTTCACTCAAATACAAAGTTGATCATGTCATTATCCTGGTGGTGTGGTTAGCTGTTAAAATACCGTGAGTGGGAAAGGCTGTGTGTAAGTTAGCATGCAAGGTCTCCTACTCCTAATACCACTTTAGCCCACGCTTACATGTACCCTAAACTCTAATCAATGCCCCAACCATTCTCACTGATACCTTTTCACATACTGTTCCCTTGAATTCCCATGCTCCCTTCCCTTCCCCCCAGGTTAGCTGTCAATCATTCTGTAAACACAGCTCAGCAGTCACCTCCCTCAGAAAGGCCTGTGACTGATCTTATGATGCCTCCTTTGAGTTCACTTTGTGCTCTAAGGAAAACTGTTTCGCTTGCTTGTCTGCCCTTCTGGTAAACTATAGCTATTGGAAGCGAGGGCTCTCTCATCATTACATCCCCAGTGCCTGGCATGGCACCAGGCAGATGATAAGCTCTAAATATTTCCATAATTTATTCCAACCCTCTCATTCTACAGATGAAAACACGGAGGCCCAAGGGGTGAGTCAGTTAGTGGCAAAAACAGAGCCATAACGGAGGTACTGGGTCTGCACAGGTTGACACTGGAGAATGGCCCCTCCTCCTTATACTACCTGCCTCCCAGCTCCCTCCTGTCTTCTCGGGCTGAGTGGTTATTTCAAAATGAAATATGCCTGAGTCTCCCTCGTGCATAACCTGGTTCATAGCAGAGAAAGAGGCCAAGCACCTGCTTGTTAAAAAGATCCGTAGGATAAAGGTTGATGCCCACGTAGGACCAATCATGGAGCTCTGGGTTCGTCTCCGGGTCTTACAGAGATTGACATGCATTTTAATAGTGATAAGTATTGTAACGCGGCTCAAATTGCTAACAACCGCCCATTCCTCTAATCTGATCACGCTAGGATGGCAGGGAATAGGCTGTGCCCTCAGGCGAGTGGCCATGGGATCGGAAAGCCTTCTGAAATCATGTGGTCCAAACTCATTTCCTAAGGGAGAAAATGAGGTGCAATGCACCTGCATCTTGGCACTGGGGGAGCGGCAGAGTGATGCTCACAATCTGCCTCTGCAAATGGCACTGCGTTCACGGCCATGCGCTCAGCAGGGGCAGGTCAAGCCAGAGTCCTCCTGGGAAGCCCCGACCGGTCCCACTGGTGCCAGGAGGGGCTGTGAGGCTGCGGTGGAGGCCGAGGCCTGAGGAGCAGAGCCTGGGGAGCCACGGGGGGAAGTGGACACTGGTTCCTGAGAAGGCGGACTGGGCTTCAGAAGTGGGTGAGCCACACTCCAAAACCCACACCCACCGAGGGCTACTTCTGCATCTCTTTCTAAGCAACTGAAAGAAGAAGGGGGAAAGTGCATTGTGGACGTGACTCACAGAACTAACAAACCCAGACTGCAGCTCTCTCATTCTGTTACTAAGCCTGAGGCATTGGCAAACGTGGAACTTGAAGGCAGTCTCACCAAATTTCAAACTACTTGCAACATATGGAGTAGATTCTCTGCCACAGTGCGATTAAGCTTACTACCACAAACAGAAAAGTAACTTTCTAAAAATCCACTATATTGCTCTGGCCGGTGTGCCCAGTGGTTAGAGCACCGGCCCACACAACAAAGGGTCATGGGTTCGACTCCCAGTCAAGGGCACAAACCTGGGTTGTAGGTTCACTCCCTGCCCCTGGTTGGGGCGTGTGAGAGGCAACCAGTCAATGTGGCTCTCTCACACTGATGTTTCTCTCTATGTCCCCCTCCTACCCTTCCTTTCACTCTCTGAAAAGCAATGGAAAAAAATATCCTTAGGTAAGGATTAACAACAACAAAAATCCACCATATTTGCAAATTAGGAAATTCTTAAAAATAATACAGAGTTCAAAGAAGAAATAACATTAGAAATTAGAAAATACTTTTAACTGAATGATAAGAATATACTATATATCAAAAGTGTAGAAAGCAGCTAAAAATGAGTTTAAAGAAAAATGGCTTTAAGACTTTAAATGCATACAGTAGAAAAGAAGAAAGGCTTATAATTAACTAGAGGCCCAATGCACAAAATTCGTGCAAGAGGCTTAGCCCTCACAGCCCCGGCTGCCTCAGTCGGCCCTCGCAGCTCCGGCTTCATCCAGACGGTCCTCCAGACGGTCCTCCAGACGGTCGTCTGGATGGTCGTTTTGCTGTTTTGTCTAATTAGCATATTAGCTCTTTATTATATAGGATGATCCAAAAATCCATCTCATAAAGTTATTAAAATAACAGCAAGTTAAAACCCAAGAAAACAGACGGGAGGCGGGTAAATGAGAGCAGAAATTAATGAAACAGAGTTAACAAAGTTAGCGCTTTGAAAAAATGATTCAAGTTGATAAATCCCTGGCAGGAGTCAACAAAAGAGAGAGAGAGAGAGAGAGAGAGAGAGAAATATGACACCAGATATGAAAAAGAGACATCACCTCAAATCCTACAAATATTAAAAAGGTAATAACAGTATATTTTGAACAATTTTAGCTCAATAACTTAAAAATTGTAAAGGTAAAATGAAAATTTCTAAGCAAGCACAATGTGCTAGGTTTGCTATAAAGAAGCAGTAGGGCATCTGAGTGGTCCTATAATTAAGGACATTGAATTCTATAATCTAAAAACCTTCCTTCAAAGGAAGGCCAAGTCTTACATAACTTCACTGTAAACACTAAAAGCACATAGCAGAAGAAATAAAATCAATCTTAAACATTCCAGAAGAGAGTAAAGATTACTTCCCAACTTATTTTCTAAGGTCAGCATATCCTTTATACCAAAATTTGACAGGGACAAAGCAGGCAACAAAAATTACAAACCAACCTCTTTATGATTTAGATGAAAAAAATTTTTGACAAATCAGGCAAGCAAATCTGGCAACATATAAAAAGGGTTACACACCAATTTAGATTATTCCAGTAAAGCAACATGGGTATAACATTCACAAATCAGTTCCTGTTATTCAGTACAGTAACAGAGTAAAAAGAAAAAATATCTAATAATTAGGAAAGGCAGATGAAATTTAACATCCATTCATAATATGACTTCAAGCAAACTAGAACTTAACCCCAAAATAAACATGACACTTAACAGGACTAATAAGAGTAGCCGCTTGTTGGGGGAGGGGCCATGGGCGCAGGACACACATGGGTCAGGAGTGGGAAGGAGACTTCCGGGGGTTATGCTGTGTGATTATTGCTTCATGTGCACATGAGGGCCCATTCAAACATACGAATTAATTAATCTGTTAGAAAAGAGAAATAGCCAAGGATGGTCTGAAAAGTAAGGAAGGTAGGGAGGAGGTGGAAGATACAAATAATAAAATATTACAAAGCTATCCTATATAATAAGAGGCTAATATGCAAATCAACTGAATGGCAGAACAACTTGTCATTCTGATGTGCACTGACCACCAGGGGGCAGAAGCTCAACACAGGAACTGCCCCCCTGGTGGTCAGTGCGCTCCTACAGGGGCAGTGCTGCACAGCCGGAAGCCCTGTGGCAGCGCTAAGGGTGTCCGACTGCTGGCTTAGGCCCACTCCCCAGACTGTGAGAGGGTGCAGGCCAGGCTGAGGGACCACCTGGAGTGCATGAATCTCGTGCACCGGGCCTCTAGTAATAACCATAAATTTAAACATAAATAATTAGCAGATAAGATTGTCAATAGCAATCAGTTATCAAATCTGTCTGAGATACACAATCTCTTTACTAATTTTGCCTTAAAAATACAACTTAAATTGAAAAAACAAGTGGGTTTTAAAGAAAAGAAGAGACAGTATTAATGGGAAAATCCTTTTTTTTTTTACCTTATACCACTTTACTGGATCCAAGATACAACTCTTCGGGAAATTCAGGTGACATGTCAGGCTGTCGTCTTTCCCAACATGCAGTATTTGTTCGTGCCCATCTGGGAAATTCATTTGACTGTTTCTGGACATGCCACACCCATATTTTTTGAACACAGTTAGGTTTACATGTACTTGGCGACACCCGTCTGTATCACTGTAAGAAAACAACAGAGTGACCCTCATGAAACAATCACAGGACCAAACGATGCCGGTCGTCTTCAAATACGTGCAAACCCTCCGTGAGGCACAGTGCAAACACGCCGCCTCCAGCAAGACAAGCACAGCTCACAGGCTCACAGCACCCAGGGAAAGTGCTGACACATGGAAACATTGGAAGCACCCTACCCAGGGACCAACAGGGACATGGCCAGGGGTCGACAGACACAGGTGCCGCTGAGTGTGGCCTAGGAGGACAGACCCTGTCATAGTGTTCCAACCTGGGGGGCTTGGGGAGAAATAACCCAAATTAGGGATTTAATATAAAACAATTTCCTGTGCTCCTTCAAAGCGTCAGTGTCATGAAGAACAGCCCAAGGACCTGTCCAGGGGAAAAGAGCAAAAGCACATGGCAGCCAGAAGCAGAGCATGATCTTGCCTGGCCCCCTACTTGGAAGAAAAGACGTGTATTGCTCGCCACTGAGAGGATGGGTAAAAGTAGAACATGGACTGAGGGTTTGATAAAAAACATTGTACAACAGTACAGTTTCCTAAAGGTGTGATCTGTATGTGATTAGTAAGAGCATATTTTTGTTGATAGGAAATACACATTGAAATAGTAAAGGGTCAGGGGTCATAATGCCTACAACTCACATGATTTAGGAAAAATGATTTAGAAAACTTATCAAGTGTGATGTACAAATATATGGAGAGAGAATAATAAGGTAAATGTGGCAAAATGTTAAATAATGGGGAATCTAGTTAAAGGATAGATGAGAGTTCTTTATACTAGTCTTGCAAATTTTATGTGAATTTGAAAGCATTTCAAATATACAGTTTACAAAGTATGTATCATGTCTATGTATATGTTAAAATTTTATGAAAATTCTTGCTTATTTTCTTCTATTACAGACAATATCTGTTTCCTTTCTGTGAAAGATGATTTTCTGCATTTCCCAGCTCCCAGGTTCAAATATTTTAAATCCAGTCTGGATTTCACAGTGAATTTGTGTGACATACAATCTCCACCTCTAGTTCATATGTCATGGGAGAGCACACCTCCCAGCATGATGGGCCTGGTGAGTGAAACTGGAAAGAGGCCAGGTACACGGGCTCCCGGCCACTTCTGTTTCTGTACCACTGAGTGATTTTGTCCTGTAGGTCGATCTGACATATGAAAATGAGGAATCTGGCATGAATCAGAGCCGGGCACAGAAAGGGACCAGCAAATACCACAGAAACAGAATAAGAGGGAATGCAGCTTCCCTTTGGAGGCGCCTACGTCCCATGATCTCAGCTCATTTCACTTCGGCCCTACCAGGCTGCCATGCTTCCCATTCTGCAGATAAGAGAAGCACGCCTCAGGGAGGCCAAAGCATTCGTTAGGTCAGTGGTTGGCAAACTGCGGCTCTTTGGCCCCTTGAGTGTGACTCTTCCACAAAATACCACATGCTGGTGCACACATACAGTGCGATTGAAACTTCGTGGCCCATGAGCAGAAGTCAGTATTTTGTGGAAGAGCCACACGCAAGGGGCCAAAGAGCCGCATGTGGCTCGCGAGCTGCAGTTTGCCGACCGCTGCATTAGGTCATGCACATGCGTGTCAGTAAAGGAAGGTCATAAAACGGGGCCCTTGGGCAAAATGTGGTCCAAAGGTGTTTTTTATTTAGGCAACACACCAAAGCTATTGAAAAGTTACACACACACACACACACACACACACTAATTTTCAGGTTTCCTTGAAAAAATGGAAAATGGACTTGAGCTGAATAGACTGTCGCCTTTGGTGAGGCACCTCCAGCTCACCGCAGTCCCCACCAGAGCTGTCATTCATCTACACAGTGTTACTTTCTAGCACAGGGTACACTGGGCCTGAGCATACGTGGTGCTTTGTCACTGGTACATTTCCATAGCAGATGCCTTAAAAAAAGGTGGGCAAAGGAGGCTGGCTCCTCTCCGGACGTGCAGCCCATCACAGGAACGCTGGGCATGCGGAGAATGAGGGCAGCGACAACAATAGTGGGAGACACCAGCTTTGGAAGTTGGTCTGGCTGTGGCATCATTTCCACGGGAAAAGCTGTATTTCATATTCTAACAACTGATTTACAAATCTTCTCTGCTTTAAAATGTTTTCATTGGAAATTGTTTTATAACAACTATAAAACTATATTTTATTCTTCTCATTGAGTTTTTAAGTTCTTAAGAATTTATTAAGAATTTTCCTGAAAGAATTATAGACATATAATTATAACATGTCAGTGAGAGAGAGATTGGGAGAGTGTGCTAGTGCTCTTTAAGGGAGGAACTTACTTTATAACACACCGGTAGGTCCCCGAGTCCCCCCAGGCCACGGGCAGGAACACGAGCCAGCTCTGCTCCTGGTGGATCCTAGCCTGCCAGTCGGTGGAGACTGGGACTTTGCTAGGGTGTCTGTACCAGGTTACCCGTGCTTTCCCAGAAGTGAGCAGAGGGGATGTGCAACTAAAGGCAAAAGGCTGCTTTGCTGAAGATGCCTCAGTTAGCACACGAATGTCCTGGCATTCATCTAGGGAGAGGAAGGGAAACGTAATCATGAAAGGGAACGCTACTGTTATTTATTAATAGTTTAACGAATGTGTCAATTCCTAGCCAATTTCATTGAGAGCTTTCTCAGTGTGGGAATTTCCCAAAAATAGTGTGTTGATGTGAAAGCAGAATTCAGAGTCCTCCCAGTGTGTCCATAGGACTGAATCTCCTGCTTCCTCCCGTTGTCAGCCTCTGGAATGAGCCCCTCTCCCCCTTCCATCGGAAGGCCTTCATTCGTTCCCCTCCCCTCAGAGGAAACCTTCCTGCTCTCCGCCCTCCTTGTCCTGTTTTCTGTCACCAGCTATTTTGTTTAAAAATCCGCTTGCTTTAAAGTTCCTTTCCACCAAATCGCCTGGTTTGCTTTTACCTTGGGCCATAGAACTGCGCTGTCATAAGACACAGACAGCACGCCATCCATTTGCCGTTGAATGCAAGCCTTGACTTGCACTTTGCCTACCCTCCTCCTCTCCTAAGTCACCTCAAAGCTCATGACCTTTTGGGGCCGAGCACCAGGCGTTGGAAGGGATGCTCCCACTCCGCAGACCCCTGCCTGGGCCCCGGGAAAGGTGAGCTGCAGGCTCAGAGCTCCCCCCCGTCCCCCCAGGTCCACACACCAGGCGGGCGGGCCGCAGGGACACATGGTGAGGTGGCCGAGGCCCAGGCAACGCCAACATACCTGCGCCCAGAAGCAGTGGGAGGGCCACGGACACGCACAGCAGCAGGGACGCCGCCCCCATAGCAGGCTGCGGGAAGAGAAGGGGTGGGGGCAGGGGCCGGCTCGGCGACCTCTGAACCTCGGAGATCCCAGGTCAGCCACTGGCCTTCCCTTCCTCCTGGGGTGCCCTCCACCTGGCCCCGCGTGTACCTTCCCTGCCCCTTCCTATTCTTGGGCTGACTTTCAGGATCGGGTGGAAGAGCCGCGGTCCGCCGCAGGAGGGAGGCAGGGCGCGGTGGGGGCAGAAGCGGGTCCCCCCTCCAGGGAGCACCATTGCTTCCTGGGGAGGAGGCGGCCCCCCTTCTCTGGGCAGCGAGGTGGGATCGCTGGGAGGCTGGCCCCCAGCCACCTCAGCCCTGAGGGTCCGGGTCCCCTGTGCGTGGCGCGTGGCCTCCCCTGCGTCTGGGGCCTTGGGTCCACAGGCCTGAACCTACATCCCAGCCCGGCCCACCTGGGAGCAGGTGAGATCCACCTGGGAGTGGTTGGTGAGATTCACCTGGAGGACCACCTGGGAGGGGCCACCTGGGAGGGGCCTGTGAGATCCACCTGGAGGGCCACCTGGGAGGGGCCTGTGAGATCCACCTGGAGGACCACCTGGGAGGGGCCTGTGAGATCCACCTGGAGGACCACCTGGGAGGGGCCTGTGAGATCCACCTGGAGGACCACCTGGGAGGGGCCTGTGAGATCCACCTGGAGGACCACCTGGGAGGGGCCTGTGAGATCCACCTGGAGGACCACCTGGGAGGGGCCTGTGAGATCCACCTGGAGGACCACCTGGGAGGGGCCTGTGAGATCCACCTGGAGGACCACCTGGGAGGGGCCTGTGAGATCCACCTGGAGGACCACCTGGGAGGGGCCTGTGAGATCCACCTGGAGGACCACCTGGGAGGGGCCTGTGAGATCCACCTGGAGGACCACCTGGGAGGGGCCTGTGAGATCCACCTGGAGGACCACCTGGGAGGGGCCTGTGAGATCCACCTGGAGGACCACCTGGGAGGGGCCTGTGAGATCCACCTGGAGGACCACCTGGGAGGGGCCTGTGAGATCCACCTGGAGGACCACCTGGGAGGGGCCTGTGAGATCCACCTGGAGGACCACCTGGGAGGGGCCTGTGAGATCCACCTGGAGGACCACCTGGGAGGGGCCTGTGAGATCCACCTGGAGGACCACCTGGGAGGGGCCTGTGAGATCCACCTGGAGGACCACCTGGGAGGGGCCTGTGAGATCCACCTGGAGGACCACCTGGGAGGGCGGGGGCTGCCCAGGGGCTGCTGCCCTGGCCACTGCGACGGAAGGAAATCTAAAATTCGACCATCATTCAGGATCTCCCTGCGCCAGGGCTGGGGCGGCTGCACCGCAAAGCTCGCGGCTCCACCAGGGCAGGCACTCGCCTAGGCTGTGGCTCCATCCCGCCCAACC